AGTTTCCAATTATATAATATAATTGGAAATTTACTTTGTATTCGATACGCAGGATGATGCTCTCCTTATGTAAACCCGGGTTATACTTGACGTACTCCCGACGCACTTTCGGCGCACCAAACAAGGTAGGGCAGCTGTTAAAAATCGAAAAAGGCGATTATATAATGCATAACGGTATCTACTGTATATATTTTTTGTATATTGTATGTGATTATATAGTTACGTAGCAATGCTAATACAGTCCAGTAATAATCATATGAGCCCAAAGTAGATGAACAAGATAAATATTTATTAGCTAGAAGTTTCTTTATCAATTTATCTATTTATGTGGCTTGTTGGCTTTGGCTTGTGTATTTAAATCACAATTATTCAACTTCATAATTCATTATTGTTCCGAATCAACAACTTTCAATATTCAATGGGATATTAATAAGATTGAACGAATGAATATTCGAATATTTATTTTTGGATCAGACTTCTAACCAGTAATATATTGCTTTGAATTAATATGTATAAAATATTATGATTACTAAAATTCAAAAAATTCTTCAAAACAGTGTTTCATGTTCGTGAAAGACCCCTGTTAAAAATCCGTTTAAACTTTACAAAAGTTGTTGAACCTGATAAACATGATCGAATAACACCTCGTCAAAAATGTAATTATTGAGAAGAAGGCTGTGTTGATTTAGTTGACCGATTAAAAGGCCATTTATTAAAATGTAAAACTTTGATTCTGGTTCTTCAAATAATCATTCGCGAAAAACTTATTCAATGAGGTTTACGTAGTGGTAATATTGTAAACCTTGGACTTTCAATACCAACAAATGTAAATTAATATAGAAGCAAGTTTCGCATTTAAAAAATGTAATAACTTTGATAAGAATTAAAGTTATTTTTTTAATACGTATTTAATAAATTCGATATTATACCTTTTTTGAAAAAAAATTTCTGCAGAAAATTAAAATTAACCAATCAGAGGCAAACTTTTCAATTTTAGTAAATTTTAGTATAGTCATGTTTTAAAAAAAAAGTTTAAATCGAAAATATTTCTTGTCCTTTTAAAATGAGCAACTCAGGTTTTCATTATCATTGAAAATGAACCTTTCTTTTTTTTAGTTTTATCAGAATTGATTATGAACCCTTTGTAATTTTTTCTAGGAGCCTCGCAAGATTTGGACGATTTGTTTGCAGATCTAAATGTAAAGACAGCAAAGCCCTCTCATGAGCGCCGTTCATTAATACAGGCACGAGTTTCGTCTTTTGCTGATCAGACGAATACGCGTTGGCACCCTGAAAACCAACGAATGGGTCAGTTGTTAATTATTTTTTAATTACTCTTTTAGCAAATAATATTTAAGTAGAGGATTACGTTTAGATAGAATTCAATTCAGACGTTTAATAGTTTTTTCCTTGTATAATTAAAAACTGAGATCATTAATTCAGTATATTTGGATAAATTAAGTAACATAAAGTTTTGGATCACAGCAAAGATAATATATACATGATAATTGCTGATTAAGAAAATCAATATATAATTTTTTATAAATATCGACAAGCAAACAAGAAAAATGCAAATAAAGTTTAAAAAGGATTAAGATGTGCATAATTTGATTGAACTCTGACAAATTACATCAAATTACATTTTGTCATGGTCTATAATAGTAAATTCGATGTCTAGTATCTCCTCGGCATCTGAAAGACTCTCGGAAATTTCATTGAAATCCAATGATGCACTTTCTACCAGCTCAACGTCTTCAATGACATCCACATCAGCTTTTGGCTTTATCGGAAATAGTGGTGAGGATGAAAAAACCAATTAAAATTTAGGGTTACATTATATTTTGACTTGTAAAAAATAATTTGCTATAGCATACTTTCATCCTTAAATATAAAAACGTGTGAATACGTTTATTAGCCTTTGTAGTTCCAAATAATGGAAAATCAAACCAATCGTTCCAATCACAGTCACAACGTCCATCTTCCATTTTGAAAGCGAACCGCATGTCCAAGGCTAACAAAGTTTCACTTGAAGAACTTGGAATTAATACAGATCGTACCGTCACAACACCTGTAAATAATGAAGCGTCTAATTTTTCCTTATTAAATTCTCCATCATCATCCACAAAGTTAAGAATGGAAAATACGGAATTGGAACTTAGAAGAATGGAAAATGAATTGAAACAATTAATCGATGTTCAACTTGTAGTTTTTCAAAAACGTAATAAAATTCATGGACAATTGGTGGAGGTACGGAAAAATTCACATGTATTGTATTCTGAGATTTTTGAATTTTTCTTATAAATACCTTATTCGTAGTTATGGAAATCAATGAAAACATTAGAAACAGATCAAGCAAATGCTCTAACAAATGAAGATTATATTCAAGCGGATAAACTTACTCATGATATACAAGAATTAAATAGTAAAATCCAAACTTTTTGTGGGGTGTTACCTGGAATAGAACAGACTTTAAATGAATTGAGGGAAAAGCAAGTTAAATATTTAAAAAGTCAAGCAGAAATAAGCAAGACATTGGAAAAAGAATTTATAAAAAAAAAGGTAAATTATATAATATATATGATAAAGTTTCATAAATATTTTTATAAAAATTATACTGAAATTTTTATTTTTTTTTGAAGAAAGAAGAAGAGGAGGCCTTTAAGCAATACGCTGCAGATATGGAGAATCTACATAATATTGAAACAAAAAAAATTAATGAAATGCGAAAAGAAATTGATAAAGAGAATAGGTTTTACTTTTACCTTGAAAATGTTACAATAATAATTATAATAATATAATGATAATAATAATAATGTATAAACATATTATAGTGAAATCGTCTTCGGATTAGACATCTGGAATAAAGGTGTTGCTGATTTGAATGAAAGAATAGAAGAACGTGTTCGCGATGAAAAGTTGGAACGTGAATCTCTATTAAAGAAGCGTGAGAATGTTCAAGTAAGCTATTGCGTATGAGTTTAATAATAACGTTAAAAGTAAAAGTTATTATCTTTAAAATAATATTGCTATTTTTACTACAGACTCAAATAGCCGAGCTTTTACAACGTCTTGAAAAACTTAGGGCCGAAGAAGAAAGTTATACAAGGCAAATCACAGATATTGATTTACAAATTGAAAGTATTACTACCGAATTTCACGTGGAACGGGATGAAAATACTCGAGAAAAAAATGATTTAGATAGAAGAAGGCATGAAATTGATAATAAGACGGTATGTACAAATAATCATTTTTGTGAATATAAAAATGATTTATATTAGATCCTTTTTTGCTTAAAAATATATGAATATAAAGAGGCATGTAGAAGAAGTGGAGACAAATTTACATCAAAGACTTGAAAATTATCGCAAGAGACAAGAAACGTCACAAGAGCAATTGGAATCATTAGAACAACGCATTGGTGAAATTAAATTGACGGCTAAGGTATATCGTGAAGAATCTGCCGAGGTTGAAAAACTGATAGAACATTTAAAAGATCGTAATCAGAGAGATAACGATTGTGAAAAAGAAATTTTCGAGTAAGTGTAAATGCACGATTAATGTTTTTTCTACAATGTTACAAGATTGAATATACTTCATACTAAAGCATGATTATTTAGTATACGACTACAAATGGAAGAAAGTGATACGGAAGTTAAGCGATTAACCTCAAAAGTGATGCACGATCAACAAACTTATTCAACCATTAAACAGGATATATCGACGATAGATACCCAAATACCAGCGTTAGAAGAACAAAAAAAGCTGGCGGTCGCAGGTATTTTATTTATAATAACTTTTTGGATTTTGTGTAATTATCCACTTAATATAACAGGCTTCCTGAACTTAACGTAGGGCGAGACTTCAAATCTGCAGGACGTTTAGCCAATAGAATAAAAGATCTTCAATCGACGCGCGATGAGCGAACAAAATTTCTAGAAACGAAACGTGCAAGTTTAGAACGTGATCAAGAAAGTCTGAAAGCATCAAGAAAAATATTAGAAGAAAATACAACAAAATTTGCCGAAGCAGTGAAAAGAATTGGTAAGACTTTTTGAAAAAAATTTTTGATTTTATGCTCAAAGTTGCAAGAATAAGATACATTATTAATGATAGGGTCGGAACTGGGAGAAGAATTGCAGGAATCTCTTCTTCAATTACGGTCAAGATATGATGTGTAAGTTCATTTTGAAAATTTTCGTTCAATTGGAATTTATACCCGATTATAGTAAAAACTTAATTAATTGAATTATAGAGCTACTCAGCAAAAACTGAATACTTTGCAAAGTTTACTGCAGAATGAAATACAAGGAATGGAATATCGCATAAATCACGTGCGAGTGAGATATGGTATAGCGACAGAAGAGGATCCTTAATGTAGACCTGAACTTTACAACTTATCCTATACCGAGTTAGCTTGCGATATGACTGGTTAATTAGTATTTATCATTTCCAACGTAACAATAGTCGAAATTATTATATAGGAAAATTAATTTTCAATACATTAATTTAATAGTAATAAGAATAAAAGCATTTACATAATTTATATTTTTACTTTATTATATAGAATGAGCAATAGAAATCAGGCAAATTTTAACATTTTGGATAAAGATAACAAGAACTTGATCCTTTTTTTTTTTTTTTTTAATAAAGATAAAAGAATTTATTTTAATTCAAGTTAAACTAGGAAACGGGCTGGAGCCGTTGGGGTTCGGAGCCTGGACATTTAATTTTTTTATTAAGTTATCTGTTCTTTGTGTTTAAGATATTCTTTTTTATGTCACTTAATTCATCAATTTTATGGAGTCTACTTAATGATGGCATGTATTTGAATTCGAGCTAGTCAAAATGAGAGATATAGTTTAAGTTCTAAAGTGTCAATAAGTAAGGTTGTGATAATAAAATGTGAAATCATAACTCTCGATTGATAACGATGTCAGAATCATCAATTCAAATTAGTTTGATTAAAAATGATGACGTAGAAAATTAATGTAAAAATCAGGTTTGATCCTATTGATTTAGTAACAGTATTTTAGGTATTATCACTTATTGTTCGGGGCGAAACGAAGGACACTTTGTTTTTACTAATATTATCACGTTGTGTATGCCTGTTCGCTTCCGTGATACGATCATATGATAATTTGGTTGTAGCAGGGACGATGATTTTCTGCGGTGGTTAAACCTAAATTCTGCGTGTGGTTAAAGACAAATTCTGTGATTTAATGTGATAAACTTTTACAATTTTTGTGAAATTCTATGATACTATACTATTTTGTAGTTTTGTGATTTAAAATCAAATACACACGTTACGACAAAAAGATTACTAAAGTCAATAAACATCTTATAAACGGTATTTTCAATAAATAATAAACTTGTTGCAATAATATTTGATTAATATAAAAAATAATTTGATTTGTTTATTTATTATATTATATACTTGTAATTAAAAAAATTAAAAAATACATAAATACAATTTTATTTTTGCTACATATTTTTTTTTATTTGTTAGGATATTAGTTTCAGCTAAAAAATAGCTTACTCGTCCTAGCCACCACGTAGAGGTATATCCTATGACTATGGAAATGTCTCGACAAAGAACTCGCGAAAAACTCAAGTGAGCTGGGAATTTTATCAAACCTCAGTTTTTCGAGCAAAAACCGATTAGATAACCCTGCCACTTGTCAGTTTTTTGCTTTAAAGTTCACGTTGACGATACGTGACCCGCTCGAAAGAAACACGAGAAAAAAAAAAAAAAAAGTCTTGACAAAGGACTCGCGAAAACTCAAGTGAGCTGGGAATTTTATCAAACCTCAGTTCCTCGAGCAAGAACTGATTAGATAACCCCTGCCGCTTGTCAGTTTTTTGCTTTAAGGTCCATGTTGACAAAACGTGACCCGCTCGAAGGAACACGAGAAAAAAAGGAGGTAAAGTAAACTGGTGTCGAATATAAAATCAAAGGCTTAAAAAATAAAATAAAATAAAAATGTAAAGACTCTGGTTTCGGAGAAGGTTAATCTATCTTTAAAACAACGAGTAAATAAAGTAGATTAGTATAGTATCAAAAGATATACGAATATTAAAAGAAAATATTAAGAGAAAAAAATAAAAATAAAAATATATATATATAAAAACTGGGGTTTCGAAAAACGTTAAACTATCTTTAAAACAACGGGTAAATAAAGTATATTAGTATGGTATCAAAAGAAGAGAAAAAAAAATTAAAAATAAAAAAAAATAACTCTGGTTTCGGAGAACGTTAACTATCTTTAAAACAACGGTAAATAAAATATATTAGCGTGATATCAAAAAAAATATACGAATATTAAGAGAAAAAAATTAAAAAATATATATATAAAGACTATGAGGTTTCGGAGAACGTTAAATTATCTTTAAAGCAACGGGTAAATAAAGTATATTACGAATATTAAGAAATAAAAAAATAAAACTCTGGTTTCGGAAAACGTTAAAAACAACGTGTGAATAAAGGATATTAGTGTGGTATCAAAAGATATACAAATATTAAAAGAGAATGTATTAAAGAGAAAAAAAGAAAAACAAACGTATGTGAAAAGGCTAAAAGATGAAAAAGTGATTCTTATATACCTTTTTTATTTTGCAAAAACGCATAACGATAAACAATGGACGCGTACAGAAACCAATCAGAGACAGAATCACATGTTGAAACAAGTTTGAAACTAGATTGGCCACTTTCAAAACACACAGTAACCGGCCAATCAGATACAGAAGTAGAGATTGTCCGTCCGTCCACGTGACACGTATTTTGCCGGCTTATACGTAGAACTTGCATTTTTTTTAATTACAGCGAATAAATTGTAAGCTTAAAATAATGTTAAAATCATTTTTATATACCTACTATTCCCGAATTTAAATAGTTATTTAAACAGGGGTGAACGTCCCGAGTGCCCCGAGTTTGTAGATCGTTACACAATTAATTAAAGATTTTTTTTTATACGT